GAATGTGGTTATGTGATGCCATCAGAATGACTCATTGCCATAATTACATATGTTCTAAGGGGTTATTCCCATTGTATTATTAAAAACTAGTGATGTTTGATTTTTGGCAGGGACTGTCTTCCTTGTATGATCTACAGATTTTGTCAATTAAATGAAGGAAAAATAGATTTCCAAGACTTCGGAACAAGACTGGACTTGTACTCAGAGCACTTTTTCGGTGTGGTATTGAGCTACTTTGCTTTATTTAATAGGATAAAGGCAACATCAGCCATGTTACTCTCCTCGTTGCAGTGATTCCCTGCAGAGCACAAGGACAGAAGTGGGTTTTGTAGCTCAAAATCATCCCAAGCACTGCCAGAAGATACCGTAGATGGTTTATCACCACAGTAGTTTTCCCAACTCTGTTTCTCAGGAATAGGTTTTCAGGGATGTAGCTCACAAGAGTGGGAGGCAGGGCTCCTTGGCAAAAGGCTCCAGGTTTGACGGCTCCTTAACAGAAAAAACAAAATTACCATTGCCTTGGATCTGGAGTTCCCAAAATGGCGACTGAAAGCAGTAGGGGAAAGCTGGGGGAAGGAGAAAACTGAAGTCGAGCAAAAAAAAAAGGCAAAAAGGTGAAAAAGGAGTTTGAGAGCGCGGGCGGCGCTGTGCCCGGCAGGATCGAGCCTGCGGAGAGAACGTCGTGCTCGGTCCCGTGCAGCTCTCGCAGGCTTGCAGAGCCTTCTGCTTTACTCTTTGAACATACGCCAGTGCTGCAGCTCTCTCTTGCAGGAATGAAGTGTTTACTAGCAATCTGGAAGCTAAAGCATTTACATATAAATGTTTTACTTTTGCGATTTGATTTTGATAGTCCTGAAAAGTGACTTCTTTTCTGGAAAGCTGTGCGTGCCGCGTCGCGCCTGTTAGCCTTGCGCGCCGCGGGATTTGACGTGGCCTTTTGCAGGCCGTTTCAGTGGTGAATTGCAGACGAGGTTCTAACCATGCGCTTTTGCTTGTGCTGTAACGAACAATATATTATCTACCTGGTTGCCCCTTTTTTTTTTCCGCTAAGATCCTGCTGCTCTTCAAAAAATCATGGAGATCCTGGCAAGCGGCTCCATCTAAACTATGGTTTGCCGTTCAGTTGGGTATAACATATTATCATGTATATAAATACCATCGGCGTGATTTATTTATGCTGACTGCTTAAATACAGCTGGCATTTCTGTAATTTTAAGAGAGGTTTTTTTTTAAAAATGTAATGCCTAACCTCTCTCTGTGAAGACTATTGACTTAAAATCTGTAAATATATATAAAATATCCCTTTTAGTGTTCTCAGACAATGTAATCCAAGTAATAGTATTAGGGATAACCTGTTTCGCTATCCTACTCTATTTCCTTTAATCAAAGCTAAGATTTCTTCTGAGTGAGAAATCATTTTAACATAAACATGAACTAAAAAGTATATACATTACCTCCATCTCCATGGGGGTAGAAAGCCAGTAAATTATTGTTCGAGGAGTATGTGTGCACACATTTAACTTGACTGCAGCTAATGAAAAATACAGATTTATATTACACAGAGAGGATAAGAATATAATACAACCAACCTGTGTTTGGTGAAATTTGTCTGCTTTGCCTCCTAAATCTCGGTAAATGAGAGAAAAATTAAACAGTTCCAACCCCACAACTGTAAGCTGTTAATATATTATTCCTTGCCCTTCGTTCCCCGTTACGTGGGATGAATTACCCAAAAGCTAAGTAAACTGCCTGGAAACTGCAGATTTTGCGTAGAAGTCTGTCCAGTGAATAAACACCGGTTTGTTCAACGGTATAAATGAAGACGTTTTCTATGCAAAGGAGTTTCTGACAAAGGGTCTGTCTGTCTGTCTATACATCTAGCGACTACTTCTCCAGTTCAGCAACTAGACGGTCAAAGCACAGAACGTGAATACGCGCAGAAGCCGGAGCAGCAACGTTTCCATGCCATGATCCGTATAGGTACGTTGGGCTTCTGGACGGTAGCAGTAGACAGAAGTTACTTAGGAGAGGCTCTCTCCTTCTGGACATTCTTGGTCCATTGGGATTTGACTCCAGTTTTGGTGAATAAAGCCAACAAAGCTTGTTCAGCAAACCCATTTATTTCTTTATTTGTTTAAAGAAGCATATTTTACAGTGATGCCGTGGAGAGAACACCACAACAGATTTTATTTGGTGGGCTGAAAGAGAGCGTTCATGTGCATGTGAGTTGAGATGACAGCAACCTATCTAAGGACATCTCCGGCTTGGACTGTTGAGCTCAGCGTGCAAATCACGTTGGTCAAATGCAATATGTTTCTAAATTCATAAATGAACCAGCTCTCTGGGAGTGGGAATAAGCACCGTTCTCGAGCTGATTAAAAAAAGAAAAGAAATTTGATTTGTTTTTTATATTTTCCTCCTAGTTTTTCTAAAACAATTTAATTTTAAAATCACCCATACTGAAAAATCTTGGATTTTCTTAATATGCATTTTCAACTTTCCTTTGCCTTTCTCCCTTTTTCTTCCCATTTTGCTGTGAAAAAGGAAGAAAGAAGGGAAAAGGCTACGACAGAAAGAAATTTGTCAGTTTTTCTAAAAAACTCTAGAAAAGTTCTATAAAATAGGTTGTGTTGATTTATTATACACGGTTTAGTTTTGAAATAGTTGTGCTAATATTGCCATGGGTTACCGTAGGGAATCCAGTCAGTTAACAGAGCCTCTGTGTATAAAACCATACTAATGCGCTCTCGCTTCTGTCTAATCCTTGCTGAGAACGGGATTGAGATACTGCAGCAGGAGGGAGGGAGGAGTCGTTTATGAATTAGCAAGCTGAGGTTCATGAAAGGGTTACTGATTATTGCTGCTAAAAAGCGGAAGGGAAAAATGGTTCTGCTTACATGCAACGCCATGGCACAAACAAAATACTTATCTCACAGGCTAGCTGAGGCTAGAAAATAAAGTGAGATCTGATCTTTCAGCTGGGAGGCTTTCAGGAATTGTCTGAACATGATCCATAAACAACTCAAAGGATGACTTTTAAGAACCTCTTTCTCTCTCTGCTTGGTATGCTGGTCGTTTATCATTGTGCTGAAATGGAATCCCCTTTAAAAGATATAACGGCTTCTTGTTTACTTAAACACAAAGTGGATGATGGGCTGAAAGGTTTTGCTGCCAACAGAGCAGTCACGGAGAGCTTGGTACAGCTCCGGAGCTGAAACAACTGTGCAGCTCCCACATCCTGCGCTGAGCCAAACCAGCCGCAAAGCCAACGGGGCGAAGGGAGAGTTTAGGTGTCCGCTGCCGGAGCCGAGTCCTCGGCGGGTGCCACAAACCACCAGCTCTTCGCAGGAGAGGACCAGGACTGTTGGGCGCGGGCAGGTGACCCGGAGCGAGCAGGGGGCTCTCCCGCTGGCATCCCCACACACTGGTGCTCTCTCCTCTCCAGAACTGCAGAGCAGAGAAGGTGGTACCAAAGCAAGCACAGCGGAGGTTGTATTTGCCGGGTTTAGCTTTGGGGTGAGCTTTTCCCTGCCCATCACCTTACTGGGGGAGCTGGGAGCTTCAGCAGCACGTCAGTGATCCGCCCCGGCCACATCTCAGAGCCACGGCACCTCCCCTGGCTGCATCCCTCAGGACCAGAGGGCTTTTGCTGAACTCTAGAGGAATTAAATGTCTGCACATATTTATATCGAGGAAGCACATTTTAAAATATAAGGGAAACTGAGCGGTATGCCGCCTCGTGACACTGCTGAGGGTAAAGCTCTCCGTGCAGAGACGGCAGGGTTCACGTGCGCCCCGTGCGGGTCTCACTGGGTCTCTGTCCCGCACGCTCCTCGTCCTGGTTCCTCTGCCCAGGTGTTGGCTCTTGCAGAGCAGGAGCACTTGTGCTGAATCCAGGGAATTCCAGTCGACGGCATGCAGACCAGTAGTTTCTACGAAACTTAACAGTTTGCTTCTCTTCTGCAGAGCCCGAACTGTGCCTTCCCCCTCCCACCTGCCTTCCCTCCTGCTATGCGCCTGGGTGGTGTCCGGGCGGACGGACGAGCGTGTCCCTAGCCTGGGATGGAGTCCCGCGGCTGTGACTGTACAAGCGGAGTCACAATGTTTCGGCAACCTGCGGTTTGTTGTAGCCTCTCATTTTCTCAATCTGCTGCATGTTAACTGGATCCTTCAATGGGAAATTCCTCAGGGGGCTCCGCAGAGCACAGCTGGGGTCCTGCGAGCGCAGGACGGCTGATTTGTGGCTGCAGTGCAGCTGGCAACATTTTCTGGGATTTTCTTAAAGCTTTGGTGAGTTTCCCTTCCACAAGTGAGTCTCTGTCCTGTGGGACACCAGCCTCCATAGGGGCCAAGGCATGAACCACACACTCGGGAAGCTGGTTGTCATTTTGTTTTTTGTTTTTTTTTTAATTTGAAATAACTCTTTGAAGCAGATTCAGGGCAGATACCACTGACCTCTTACCACAAACGTTTAACATGTATTCGCAATGATAAAGTCATACAGCTTAGAACACAAAATAAAGGGTGGGGGGAAGAGAAAGAGGCCACTGCCTTTGTGTGAGTCCGGGTCCCAGGTCGGGGAGAGCGGCCGTGTGGGTCCAGTCTCATCCCTCTGGCTGCAGCCGTGCTGCGCTGGGGCCACGCGGCTGGTCTTGAGTTGAGGCCTTTGGTCATGAAATCTCGCATCTGGGTCCTTTGCTGACTTCTACTCCACCTCTTCTCCCCGCAGCATCCCCCGCGGAGCCCTGGGGAGGTGGGCTTCCCTCCCTGTGCGCTCCCACTCCTCGGCAGCGTCCTTCCGTGGTCCTGGGTGGTGCATGTGTGTGCAGCCTCCTTAAGTATTGTGTATGTGGTTTCTGTTGGGTCTGTGGGTCGGTCTGGGAGTATATGTCTGTCTTTCTGGACATGTGTACGTGTTGTGTAGCAGTGCTCTGGTTCAATAAAGCTTTCATATACATAGCAGCAATGAAGTCTTGCCATCAGGTGACGTAAAGGGGCAGCTACTGGGCAGGGCTGGCGGACGTCGCGGGGACCGCGGCCCCTCTCTGTTTGCTCTTCCTCTTCTTGGTGCCAGACTTAGCGTCTTTGGTGTCTTTCCGATTTCTATTCCCATTCGCATTATCTTGCTTTCCTTGCTCTTCCTTTTTCTTCCTTTTCCCTGCAGTAAAGCAAAGGGGCACCGTGAGGCTCTCGGGCAGAGCGAGCTGGCCCACGGCCCACTGCTGCCGGCGGTGGCCCAAAGGACCTGCACGCCTCGCCAGGCACAGAGGTGCCCGAGAGCTGCCCTATCTGCCAGTCTGCACTTTGCGTTGTGAGCTGTTGCCTAAATATAAACAGGGAAGAGGATCAAATCAGGATTTAGCTTTGTAATTGTCGGTCTCCGGCAGAAGTGTTAACACTTGCATTTCTCCGCGGCTGCATACCAAGCCCCTTAGCTAACGCACGCTGCTGTGTGCATCACAGGAACGGATCGGCCGTGTCTGCCTCCCCCTGCCCGGCTGTTCAATCCCTGTGGTGTTAGTCACTGCTCAGAACCGGTTTCCCTCAAAACACTCAACCCAGCTGCAATCCTTGTCCATCCTGTAAGAGGATGACCAAACCACCATTCATCCTGAAGACACTCTAATTCCTGGGAAAAACACAGACCTAAGCATTCTGGTAGCGGAGAAGACGACTCCCCTCACCGCAGCGCACAGGCGTGCACCTTCGGCGGCTCAGCTGCCTTGCTGCTCTCTGCCCGGGGAAGAAGGTAAAATATTTGAAAGCCCGTGGGACACGTGGCAAGCCATGCTGAGCATCACCCACCCGGGGGTCCTTCTAGCTGCTGTCACGTTGTGTTCCCTGTACCGGAGAGGGGCAGTGAGATGCGCAGCGCATTTATGATACTGGACAATTGGCTGGTTACTTGTGCCTGACAAATAAAGGATGCTGGGGAAGGATGGTGAGATATTCCACATCTGCTCACCTTCGGGGCACTGGTTCTTCTGCACGGTGCACCTCCGCACCTCCGTGGTGGCAGGACACAGGGACACGTCTCCGGAGGGAGCCTGCAGAATCCGCCGCGTTCGGTCTTCGTTGCCCTTCTTGAAGCCACAGAGCTTCCTCTTCTTGGAGCAGGGCCCCCAGGGCCCCCACTCACTCATTTCACATTGTGCTGCCAGATAACAAGAGAGGCCAGCAGTAACTCTCATTTCTCCGTGGCTGCCTCAGGACTTCCCGGAGCCCTTGCACGCCATCGCACCTCTCCCCCACTGTAGGCTTGAAGGGTAGGTGTGTTTCCCCAGCAGCTTCCTAAGTTTTCAAGGCACCCCCTTCCTTGCCGTACCGCACAAACTCTGAGTCACGCTTCACAAACACGCAGCAGCGACGCTGGGGTGCTGCTCCCCGTCTAGGCTGCTTTCCAGAGGGCTCTGCCCTCTGAAGGGCTGGGTCTGGTCTGTACCGTCACCCACTCGACATGGGTATGATGAGCCATCGTCTCTGAGGGGTTTGTTTTATCATCTAAACCAAACCTGTAGCAATACACGTGACTGGGCCCGACAGACGCACGAAAAGCTCAGTGAGAGGTGCCTGAGCATCACTTACCAGGACTGCTGCACTCCATGGTGCCGTTGGCAGCAGAGTAGCCTTCGGGGCATGTGACGTAACATCTCCCTTTGTGCAAATACAAACCTTCCTTACATTTTGTGCAAAAGTTTCGACTGAAACAGGACTCACAGTTCTCAATTTTGCATTCTGGGGAAAAAAAAAACCACAAAGCCGTCATGTAGTCTGATGTGAGCAAAAGACTCGGGAATCTCTTGACTGCTAACTGGACTTTATTCCTGGCTCCAAGGGGTCTGCCAGCAGCCAGGGCGAGTCTCTGAACGTCCTGCCAGGCCTGGTTGTGCTACTCAGATAGAAGTCAGGTTTCTTTGCACCGTTCCCTGGTACAGGACGGAGCCACTGTGCTGCAGCTGTCATAGCCAGCAGCAGCCGCTGCCAGATCGAAACCAGGCAGGGTGGAAAAGGTTTGGGCTGGTGTTCAGCTTAAGCATCCGTCAGCCAAAGTGGGACAGTGCAAAGAATAAAGTCTCGCATCAACTGCTCCAGCTGCAGCTACAGTACGAGCTGCAAAGAAGCGGAGTTAGATGGAAATCTGGCCATGAGGGTGGTTTGCATGAAACTGCCAGGGAAGTGATTGCATTTTTCCATGTCCAGCTTCTTTCTGGTGCTCTGGCTGAAAGAGGCAGCCCCAGGCCAAGGATCTCATTCAGAGAGCTGCTTGGCTATGGTGAGCGGGCAGAGGAGAGAAGAAAAGGTACTTGTGCGAGCAGTACCTTAAAAGCTGAAAGGATCTCCCTCCTCCTTCTTCCTCCCAAAGAGGGTGCCAGCCTGGCAGCCCCGCTAACAGAGCTGCCCAAATGTCCTGCAGGATGCCACATCCGCAGCGTACCTGGGCGGTGCTGAGCATGCTGTGACAGGGTAATCCAGCCCTGAAAGCTTCGCCAGTGGCCCTCTGCTCTAATGAACCACTGGTCCATTACCATCACCTGCCCACAGCACGGAGAGACCCACAGAGGCTCTCAAAGACCAGGAAGGCCAAAACTCAAGTCAAAACCTGCATGGAAGGGCTGGTGTGGGGGCAGCGGATGCTCACCCACCTTCTGAGGGCACTGTCCGGGCAGTGTCTAGCGGCTGGTCAAAGGGAAGGAGCATCTCAGCCTGGCTGCACGCTGCACCGGCTGCACAGTGCTGCGGTGGGGAAGCGCCTGGGCACGCAAGGTGCGTTAGCCAACATCGGCATAAATTATGGGGTCATTCCCTGGGTAGATCGCTGCCCTGCTCAGCACCACCTTCTCCCCTTCGATACAGCCACAGCATCTCCTCTCCCCTGACCGGAGGTGGCACGATCCCCTGCAAAGCACCGCCACCCTCCGGCGTTTCGCCCTTTCCCTCCCACCCCCATACTCACTGATGCACTTGTTCATGTCTGTATTGCGAAGGCCGAAGTATCCCAGTGGACAAGATGGTAGGCAAATCCCAATTTGCCGGATATCATTCCTCTCCAGAAGGATGAAGAGTTTGGGGGAACATCTCAGGCACCCATTGAACTCGGAGCACAGGTCGCAGCCTCTGGCACAACCCTGACTCAGCTCGGTACTAACTGGAAGAGCAAGAGAGAGGCAGTGGTTAGTGCCCGTCCGCACGGCCGGGCTCTGCACACACCGGCTTCGGCACCACCGGCAGGAAGGGCAGGGACCAGGGCAGCCCAAGGGCTGGGGTCCTGCTGCACTGACACGCTCGCTGTGGCTCCCGGCACCGCTCTGGCTGGGTGTCACGGCCCCATGCCTGATGCCCACAGGCACCAGCACCACACTGAGCACGGGTGCGAGGGTCATGGCAGCGGCAGCAGTGAGGAGCAGGACCCAAAAGCAGCCCCCAGCTCTCCCCAGAGTCCCGGCGCTCTCTCCCCACCAGCCCCTTGCCTCCCAGCCCTGTCCATCAGCCCTGCCGCCCGCGCTGGGCAGGCACCCACAGGGGACACGTGCCTGGGTGGGCCAGTGCCTCCCTGCCGCGTCCCCTCTTGGAGCTGGCGGTGCCGCCCCGCCGAGCTACAGGTGCGTTGCAGGATGAGCGGGAACCAGAGCCACGCGGTGCTGGAGCAAAACCGTCTAACTAATTCTGCGCTGCGCTTCAGGCCAGGCTGCGTCCCAAGCTAGATCTCGCTCTGACCCCACTCATGTTAACTATATCTGGCAGTGCGGGAGATTTCAATGCCCCCAGAACAGAGATGTGTTCTTAGCTCCTAAGTTCAGTCCAAGAAAAATACTCAATCCCATGTCTTGAGAGTTTTCTGCTTTTAATTATCATATAAAATGCTGCTTGTTTTGAAACCAATAGCATTCTTTGCAGGCTAGAATGCAGGTTATTTTTATTAGTTTATTATGCAAGCAGTATCCTTGTTTATAGAAAAGTTGTGTATTAAAAAATGTATTCTTTTAAATACTGTGTTTACTACACTTCAAAAGCAAGTGTGGAGCACCACAGTGTTCACATGCCAGACCAAGAGGTAAGAAAACTTTCCTCTCCCCCCGCAGTGACCTGAGACCCCGGCAACTCCCCTGCTGCCTGTCCCAGCCCCGTCGCTGGGTCCGCAGGCGCGGAGGCTGCCGCAGCCTTGGAAAAGGAAACAGAAAACAGATGGGGGTCCCCAGCCCCCCGGACCCTCAGTGCCCGGCTGCCAGGAGGGTTTGCTGAGTCTGGACCGGGACCTCCCCTCGGCATTTTGGGGCCCTGGGCCCCCCGTACGCAGGGACCCCCGGGGGATCCAGCCCCATCCCTCCCGCAGCGCTGAGCCACGGTGCTGAGGTCTGCCTGTATGGCAAAGGTATAAACCCAGCCCTTGCTGGAAATTGCACCTTATAGCATTAGCCATGACATCAAGTCTTCCTTGTTCTCACAGGGCTCAGCAGTTCCAGTTTTAATATAAAATCATTTTTATATAATTTAATTTAAAACAGTTATAATGTAAAACAGTTCTAAAACTAGCTTACACAAATGAGGGCAAACCCATGTGGCTGCTCTTGTGCCGATTCAGCCTGGTTGCCCTGCGTGAGCCCCGGGCTGGGACCGGGCAAGGACCATCCAGGCTGGAGGGATAATTAAAACCCGTACTCCCCATGCACCTCGGGTCCCACCATGGCCCGGCTGCTCCACGGCCCAACACACTCGTGCGTGGCTGCTGCCTGGGGCAGAGCCTGCCAGGCGGCTCGGGGTGGGACGGGGTGGCCACGGAGCAAAGGACGGTGCTGGGCAGGAGCCTGCCAGCAGAGCGGCGCTGGGGAGGCGGATGGGGAGTGATGCACGGCTCGTGCTCACACGCTCCCTTCCCTCTACTGCTCACTTTTCCCAGGAAGGCACCTGATGATGGTGGGGGACCTGGAGGCTGCCGGCCTCGGTGGGGTGCAGGGTGGGACGCGCACCGCTGCCTGCCTGCTCAGTGCCTGCAGGGGCGGAGGTGGGCAGGGGCCACGGCAGCCGGGGGGCCGCG